AGGGAGGGCGGGGTTTCAGGAAAGTACCGGTAACTATGAAAGTATACCATGTCCATGAGTTAACACAGTTAGCGCATCCAGTGCTTTTGCTCACGGTGGCTGGGAGGCTGGGACACACCCCTTTTTGCTTATGGCAGCGGAACGGATACAGTACAGAAATCCCCGGCCCCTAAAATTTTACGAGCCATGATTCACTGAAATGATAGTCTATTTAAACCTAGGCTTCGGTCCATCACTTACAGAACAGACTTCCAAAAATAGGCCTACCAGCCATGATTTTTATCTTTTTAACTTGTGGTATGGAATAATAACCACACCCGTGTCATATCTAACATTTTGACCTGAATTTTCATTCGATTTTAAGGAGAATGCCTTTTTCCTAAGGCTATAAAAAAGGTCATGTTACAATATACTTTATTGTCTTAGTTCAGACAATAAATAGGCCTAATTAATTGTATCAATTGTATTACAGACTTTCAGAGAGGTGAATTCTCATACCGTATTTATTCGACTAAACGCCCCGCTTTGAATAAACTTCCCCTCGAATGAACACCCGTACCCCAGAAGTCTAAACTCACCTACTGACTGTAAACAAAACGAAGCAACACTTTCTGTTGTTCTACTGAATTACATTTTTTAGTCTTTGTAATCACATCACATTTTGACGGTTATATAGGCCTATAGGCCCTATGTGTAGGCCTACATTTACAGTGAAATTAAGGGGCGTTTATTTGAGATATCCTTACCGTACAGTATCCATTTCACCAAAATAAATAAACGCCCTCTTCAAATAAAAGCCCCTCAAAAACCCATAAGCACCCCGGGAGTTTAATAAAAAAAAAAATAAATAAAATAGGCCTACCGTATTTCAACACACTAAAATTTTTTTATGGGGATAATATTAACATTTTTGACTTTAAAGTTTTCATCCAATTTTAAGAGAAATTAAAGTATTTTTGAAAGTCTGAAAGCGAAATTTCCGGATGTTAAGAGGTGCCAAATATGTTTGCGCCTCAGCCAGGGGTAGCGCCAGTGGATGCCCCGTCACGGTAAGAATTTTTTACTGATTGTGAGAAATTTATTAAAGCCTTACAACACACCGGGTGACGATCTGACTTCGCCCACTTCGCGCACGTCTGTTGGCCCGTGTGCGCCTACAAACATTACGGTACCGTTCTTCTCTGGAACTTACAAAAAGAAGTTTTTTAAGTAATTGAACTTATACAGTAGGCCTATACGTTAATATCAAATTAAACTCTTTGAAAAGCATTTTTGCATATGAAAGAGCCATTTCTGGGCATCTGGATGACATAGGCTATTCTTAAATGGAGTAGGTTAATTTATCTCATTAATCACCGATTTTGCAATATAAAGAGCAATATTTCTGGCTGCTGCAGGGGTGGGAGTTCCCCCTTTCGCCACACTGGATCTGTACAGAGAATACTCATTACCAAACGCATAGAGACCTCGTTTACTTGCACTATATAAATTCCATCTATTATTATTATTATTATTATTATTATTATTATTATTATTATTATTACCATTAGTAACAGTATACCATCATTTGGCCTATCATCCTAATTGTAATCAATATTATCATCATCACCACCACAACCACCACCACATCATCATCATCGTCATCATCATCATAATCATCATCATCATCATCATCATCATCATCACCATCATCATTATCGTCATCATCATCATCATCATCATCATCATCATCATCATTATCATCATCATCATCATCCTCACCCTCATCAACATCACCGCCGCTATTCTGTTGTTTAATAGCAAGGAACCAAGCTCTTAAAATGTGCTTGTATTTGGTTGGGGCGTACAAGTTAACAAAATTGAATAGAACAAAAATGAATGGAAATGGATGGAACTCTAACTTATAGGGAATGACTCAAATGGCTTAAACATCCAATGTCACATGACATAATATTGACAATAAAATGACAATGGTCTACAGTATTTAGGCCGATTATAAAATGCATAAATTTACTGTACTTTAAACATGGAAACAATTCTTGTAAATAAATGTTTTATACATTACAGAAACCAGATGAAACTATCTTAACTTGAGTACAGTAGGCCTACTAGGCTGAAAGTTGACTTCGAAAATGACGATGATGGCGCTATTCATTAATGGGACAGCAAACTGACCAAACCTATCATTATTTATAATACTGGATTTTATGCTTCTGTAAATGTGATCAGTATTTAATTAGGCCTGTTGCTATTTCGCATACATACTTTAAGGCCTACCAATTTCTTTAATTATAAACAAAAAAGGTACAATGATGTATCACGAGATGTGAAGGTTTTGTACGGAGGCCGCTTTATATATAAATAACATGTATGGTATGCAAATACGCAGACCGACCCGTTGGCTTACGAGGTCATAAACCCAGTTACCTATATATCCTACACATAATTAACCTTTTCCAAGAAGTTGTGTAAAATACGTAGATTCACCTCTATACACTTTTTGTAATAAATATCCTGAAACAATTAATTTATTGGAACTCTGAAAAAATGTTTATAAATTTGGAATGAGTTGGAAACTCAAAATTATGTAATCCTATATCGATCGAAGAAATGACTGCCGGCGTCAGTTTATTAACGTGCATATTACTGAACGTAGTGTTTCCAATATCATATAAATATAGGCCTAACTTTTTTTCAAAGTTAAACTTTAAAGACCTTGATTGTACAGTTTGTAATTTTCATTTATCCTTATCCTTTGTCTTTTATTGACTGTGTGTGAATTTTGTTAAAGTGTTCCTGATAATGACATAATTAATTTTAAATATTTAATCCCAAGACGATGCCACGTACCGTATTTCAATAATTTTTCAATTTAAAAAAAAGGTTGTATAAAAATAAACATTATCAATAATAATGCGATTTAATAATATATTATTAAACATATCAGACAAGATTGTGTGCCATTTTGATATGCTTAGAACTGTAACGTTAATCATGCTGACTGAAAAGCATTATTATTGGAGGATATTCTTCAGTGATAAACGAATTTTTAACTATTTTTAATTTTTAAAAGCAGGATAAGCAATAGACTTGGTATTCAATTCAATTCAATTTCTTTCATTGCTGCATACGCATGATGAGCCAATATCCACATAAATATGACAGAAAACAACTGTCTATGATAACTATGTATTAAGGGGTAGAGAGTCACTCCACTAATAATAATAATAATAATAATAATAATAATAATAATAATAATAATAATAGGCCTAATAATAATAATGATAACAATAATAATAATAATAATAATAATAATAACAATAATAATAATTTTAATAATAATAAGAATGATAACAACAAAAAACAACAACAACAATAATAATAATACATATAATAAAAATATTAATAATGATAATAATAATAATAATAATAATAGTAATAATAATGATGATAATAATAATAATTATTATAATGGTCGACTTAGAACGTATTGATGTCTTAATGGACCTAATGGATAGATATTAATGTAGATCCAATGAACCGCATACCCCACCTAGGATTAAAAAACAAAAAGAAATGTTTGGAAATTATTGATAAGTGAATTTGAAACAATTAGAATTACTGATTTTAAAGTTAACGTAGATAAGCCAATGAAAAATGGAGCAGCTTCGATGTTAAGCTTTTTCAAAACAGATTAACGCCTCCCTCTTGTTCCCCTCAAATTTTTCAAAATTATTTTTAAAAAATGAAAGAAAGAAAATTATATTCAAATTGAAGTTTGAGAGTGCCATTTCCGGCCGGAGAGTTGCCAAATCATACCTGCAGCCCCAACATGGTGGGGATGAGGTGGTCTACATCCTCCATCTGAAAGTTCCTTCCTGGCAGTAGCGTCACGCTCGGGTGCTGACGGGGGGGCCGGAGCGCCAGAGCCACATGCACGAGGGGCCCCCACATTGTCGTTTAAAAAAATATAATATAAATTATAATACCATAGGGCCCTGACAATTTTAAACATTGAAATTGCACTGTCCTGGCATCATCATACAGAAACCGCAATATATCTCAGGGCTCATGTAAACAAGCGGTTTGTCTTGCAAAACCACACTTGATCGATGTCGCGCGTGACCAGTTTGAATGTAGGTTACTAAAACATGTTTTAAATGCCTAGGCCTATACCGGAAAGTTAGCCTCATCTACATTGGTTTTGTCATAAAATTGTCTGAAATGTTTCATCAGTCATGGACCATTCTTTTGTTCTCTGACAACGCAATTAACAGTTCATAAATGCCATAAGCTCTGAGCGCGAAGGGGCTAAGCCACCTCGGACCCCACCATGGGGTCTCAAAATTGCATATTAGGGCCCCCAATAACAGTCAGCGCCAGAGCCCCACAAATAGGCCACTGCTTCCTGTACCCCCCTCTATTTCGTATTCCTGAATCCTAGAAGGGATTGTTATATGTACAGTAATAATGGGCCGTTCAGTAGCTGCTGTATTTAAACACCATAAGGAAATATCGTTGTATAAAATAAATTTATATTTCAAATCTTTCAGCGTCGGGTCGAGGGGAGGCAAATGGGGCGCTCGCATCACCCCTAACCGAGTGCAGCCAAAAGTGTGAAATCTTATTTAAGAGACTGAATAGCTAAAACTCCGAAGCTTCAAAGGGGAATATTCCCTGGACCCCATAATAAATAGGTAAGAAAACTTCTCAAAACCTTTCTCCTCGACCAGGTTCTGTCACCTTCGGACCTCAGGTCCTCGATTGTCACTCGCGCCACCCAGGAAAAAAAAATCTGTATCCGTCACTTATAATACAAAACGCACAGGCAATTAGAAATTAAAAGCAATGTACCTGTTTTGAAGTAGTAACACATTGTTTAATGTTTTTGTAATCGTGAAGCCTGTCAAGTGAGAATTAAAACCGCTTGCCCTGGTTAACC